AATTTTTATTTAAAATTTTTAAATATTGGAATATATGCAATAAATTAATTGAAGAAATAACTAATAATAACAAATCAGTTGTTAAAGAAATATGATTACTTGAAACATCTTATATATATTGTACTATCCATACAATCCAATTAGCTATTAAAAATGAACTTCATATATGTAATAATATTCTAAATAAAACAAAAAATTAAATAATTGGTTAGTAAAAAAAAATCATTATAGACAAAGTTTTCACAATATTTAAAATGAATTCAATTAATTATTAATAAATTTTTTAGAAGACTCTAAGTAATTGTCATTAGAGAATGAAAATTCTGATTCAGAACCTGAATATTTATATGAATTATTGGTGCTATCAAGTAGACAAGTAGAAAAAAAAGAACAATCTATCATAGAACCTATTCATGATATTAAGACAAAATGAAACTCTATGTTTTTTGTTTTAAAAAGACTACTTCAACTATGAGATACTGTAGAGTAACTTGCAAAATCATTAAACTGTTATCCTGAAAATTAACAAAAAAAAGATAAACAAAATTTAAGTAGAAGATTATTTTCTGAAAAAAAATAAAATGAATTAGAGAATTTATTAAAACTTTTGTCACTCTTTACTCAATCAACAAAGTTAATTAGAAGTGCACAATATCTGATTCTAGGCATGATGCTTTCTATAATTTAATTTTTGTTATCTCATTTATATTAAATGAAAACATCTCTTAGTTCATCTAGTATTCTAAATGTTTGTTAATGAATTGAGAACTCCATGTTAGCTTACTGGAAATCACCTCCAATAGAAGCTTATTTTGACTTTTATTTTGATCCTTGGTTCAAAAATTTGTCTTTTGCTAAAAATAAAAAAAAAAGTTTAAGATATGCTATTAGAAATAATAGAAGCAAATTTAATGCTATAGATACCTCAGTACAAATAGAAATGGATCAACTTTATAATAGTGTTCAACTTGATTTTCTGATAGAAAATGAAATATAATGATACAACAAAGTAACTCAAATGAATAAATATTGCATTGATAACTCTTTTTACAAAACTTACAATTCTATTATATGGTAACATATAAACAAAAAAGAATATCCAAATTTAGCAACATTGACAAGAAAATTTTTTGCATTTCCAGCAACTTAGTAACTTCTGAATAGTTATTCTCTGATGTAAGCAACATTCTAACAAAAAAAAAATCAGTTAGATCTAACCACAGTACATGATATATTATTTTTAAAAACAAATTCTAAAATTTTCAATGTTTATTCTGAACTAAAATAAAATTTTAATTAGTATTACAACAAAGATACAAAGATAGCAATGTAATTAAATTTGAATTAATAAAGCAATTGTACCAAAAAGATAAAAACAGCTATTTGCTAATATTTAATTCATTATTTCTAGGCACTTAATTAAAAATTATTTGAATAGAATAGTTAATCTTTATTTAAGATTTAATCAGGTGTCCAAGAATAATATGTAAAGGTTGGGTTTACTAATTTCCCTACCACTTCTAATTTGCCGTATTAATTATTCAATTGTCAGGTATTTATATTATTAATCCAAAAAAAAATTTAAGTAAAAATTAGTGTTGTTAGGTTAGAGTTAGTATCTTGGCATCAGATTTTATTTAGAAGATATTACTGATACTAAAATTTCACAAGAAAATTTTTTATTAGTGCGCAGAAGATAGTTTCATAGATCGAAATTAGAGTTATAAGTGATTTAATATTTTTTATATTTTTTTTTTGTATTTCTTTTACGTTACACCTGATCATGAAATTTGATTTGCGCCGATAAGTGAATTATCAGTACAACCAATCAGAGTGGTGGGGAAAATTAGGGCACGATAATTATATAATAAATTAATATTCTAGCTATTTTGGTAACAATGCCATAAATATAACATTGCAAACCCCATAATTAGCTTGCTGGTTCACTTGTGTATATACATATACGTACGTTTCTATTCTTTAATGAAATGAAAAAATAATTTAACTCTATTTCTAGAAAATTATTTTACATACTGCCATTCGAATTTTCTTTAATGAGTCCAGGAAGTATTAAAGACCGATATTTTGTATAAATATCTTGCAATTTATTTGTTAAAGATTTTTTCTTAATAGATGGCCCGCCCGGTCGACCGGGTCGAGTTTTTTTGCAGCCGGGTCGACCCAAGGGTTTGCTATCAGCCCTAATCACTAGATCTAAGTATTACTTATAACTCTGGTCAAATTTGCAGATCGTTTGGCAAAGTTCAGAGCTTATTTGATCCCGAATCTGGCCAAATAATCTGCAAGTTTGCCAGAATTATAAGTAATCGGTTCTGCTATTTAGATCACACAATCAAAATTAGCCCTTACGTATATGTGTTGGCCAGTAGAATATTTTAGTCCGCGAATGGAGCAATAGAGTATTTTGTTACAAGAAATTTTTTTGGAAAATTAGGGCATTATTGTTTCACGCAGAGTCCCAACATTCACTAACCCTAACTTTAATTCTTATTTGTATTTAATTTGCTATTAGGGTAGGTGTACCAAGCGTACCCCTGTATTACTGTAAATAAATTTATTCATTAGATTAAATGGCTAACTAGATTCCACAATAAGTTAATGTGATGAGATATAATAGAGAAATAAAGAACAGAATATAATGAATAGAATGCAATAATGTTATACGTATAATCATTATGCATTAATATTATATTAATATCGGCACATTTGTCAATTTGTGTTTTTTATTATGGTTTTGTGTACCAATCACATACTTTTTGAGACTACTGTACGTATATCTAAAGTTTTCGTACGTACTAAAATTCCGCCAGTAAGTACACAGTAATTTATATTATTTTAACAAATGCACCTTAGTTACGATGGTAACGTTGATAAGCGTTTAAGAATATCGTAGTATTTTCAATAAAGACTTTACAACACATGATAGCAACAATAAAAATGAGAATTCATACTTGAGTTTAGAACTGTGATATAGTAGACCGAGTCATTTAAGTCAACTTAGGTCAAAATAAGTTAAGTATTTGCCATTATTTTTGGTTCTTATCTATTTTTTCACGATTATTACCCGAAATCAATAGTAAAACGGATATTCGAAAAAATTCAGATTTGGATATCCAATAGATAAATGGATAAACGAATAATGGATAAGAACTCTACACCAAACCATATTAGGCTTCGAAAAAATTAGTCAATCATAAATTATTCAAACCGTTTTCATTTGAATTCGGTTCATAATTATACGCACCCAGTTCGGAATTTACTCGCCGCTCATAGGAGAACATTCGTCTGATTGGCTGATGTAAATCAATTGCCCGGGTAACTTATTTATATACTTTAAAGTATGTTTTGGGGAACATACCGTTTCACCAATAAAAAATCACTGCAAAAACCATTTTTCGCTTCGATACAACGTCTATATTTACTATGCAAAAATAATCGGTATCCCCATGAACTTTACTTAGAAGACAATATATTACTACCATTTATTGGACCAGACCAAATTATATTGTGTAGTGAAGGTAACTGGAAACATTTTCGTCTAAAACTATTTTATTACGTTAAACTTTTATTTCTAATTGTTAACTTGTGTAGGTACAAGCTATTTAGTAGTGAAAGATCCGGGCCTAAGATTAAATTTGGTCGGTTATTGTAGTGTAATAGTTAAGGTTTTGGGTTATATTTTATCGATTTTTTAATTTAATTAGTGGGTTTAATAATAAATGTCACAATAACCACTTTAGGTGCATATATCTATTCTCTAAATATAAATAAACTTTTTTTTGCGTAAATTTATTGTCTGTAAGCTTCTTTATACGAAGTTTTTTTTTCGTTTCTAGTACTATAGTATTACTTAACAATTAAATATTTTAATTGGTTAATTGCCAAATGTCTTCTTATGAACCCAAATCTTAAACCCAATCCCAAACTATTATTTTAAAAATTGTTTAATAATCTTTATTTAAACAAATAATAAAGCTATATATGATATATTTACAAAATATCAAACCTATTTTATTGACTTAATTTTATAAAATAACATAGTATGGAACACTAGTTAGGGATCGACATTTTTAATTTCAAATAATTAAATGTTGTAGCAGAGTTAGTAAATAAAAAATATACAACAATTATTATGGTTACAGAAGTTTGATGTTTGTGATTTTCTTTGATGAGGGTTTCAAAAGCTTCATTAATCAATAGCAAATAGAAATGGATGAAATACTTGGACTTGCATCTACTCATGCTTCTGATACTTTTCGTTTAAAAATATTTACCAAATCATTTAGTATGCTTATTTCATTTCAAAACTTAAAGAGAAAACTTACGTTCTTAAATTAGGATTTGGGTGGATATATTTAATAAAGTGTTTATAATAATGTAGATAATGTAGATATTCTTAATAAAGAGCTTAAAATCAAGTGATAAATTTAATTATATAAATCTGTATTTGAGTGTTTCCAAAAGGAAATATTAAATAAATATCCAAAGTTCCTTTGATATTACTCGTCTTTATATTCCTATATTTATATCGATATTCATACTTCCAAAAGTATACTATGTACTAGGTTACTTGTGTATTGGCCGTTTTGGAATTCTTAAAATCAGGTGTAACTTTATTCGAACTAAAAGGGTTATTCATTTACACGCAATTACATTGTACTATGTACGAAAAAATCTTTCAATTTAAATAAAAGATGCAAAGATTTACGAACTTCTTTTTAAAATTTCTTTCAAATTCTAATATTACAATTATACGTGCTTTGTGTATTTAATTATATGAGAACCATTTAAACTCTTTCCAAGTAATAGAATTAGCAATGTCTAGCACCGGGGAATTTGGTGAGTGCAAATTATTTCTCATTTAAATAGATATATAATTGTAATTATATCAACTCTATTAATTCTATTCTATTAATTCTATGTAAAAATTAACATCCTATATATCAATGATACCATAAGTGTATTTTGCTCAGCAAAATATGTATGCTTTAATCGGGTTCGCTTGTGGAATTCTTTTTGCGTCAATTATGTATTGTTGGGGATGTTGTAGAGGAGGAGCTGGGGATAACTTTTTTATGTTCAACTATATGTTGATAGTTTATGATTTTGGTTTTGAACTTGCTTTTTTACTGAATAATGCTAACGATGTTCCATCATTATATACTCCAAGGTATTATCAAATTTACACTTTCAATTATATACGTTAAATATTTGTTTATTGGTTTAAATATTTTGGTTTATTTCTATAAGCTTGATCTTTGTTATTCTCCCAGCGGCATTTAACTTTTTGATGGGACTCATAATATTTATGGTGGAAAGGCGTCGTCCTGGGAATAGAGCTGTCCCCGAAAACACTCAATTTGTCGCAATAATGACTTTTTGTTGTGCTATTGATATTCAATCTTTACGATTAATCTGTTCAAAATTCGGTGGATTCGATTCATTTTCTTCTGAATTTTCTCAAAACGCTCAGAAAGCTATTGCTTGGGCCTCTGTTATCAATATATTCATTGAAGACATTCCACAATTTATTATTCAGGTGCGCACTTTTATTCGCTTTTTTAATCATTTTAACATATATCTTAATATATTTTATTTGAAAAAAATTCGTAGATACAATATAAAACACAGACGTCCGGGTATAGCTTTGTGCCATTTGCGAGTCTGATATTAAGTTGTTGTGTTTTAGCAACTTCACTCGAACGTTTATTTTATGCTGTAGACAGAGGCCCTTGTACTCGCGATTGTTTTACTATTCAAAGGAATCATCCAATTACACCAAACGAAGATAACTTTGCTAGAGATTGGGCACAAGATTAGATTTCAGCTTGATGTTAAATAATAATTACACTCCTAATGTTTAATTTGGATTTTTTGTAATATAATATGATCAAATATAAGTAAGGACTTTAACCTAAAATCGATTAAATATAAATAAGGACTTTAACATGAAATCGATCAAATATAAATAATGACTTCACCTGAAATTTATATCTCATTGTTAGGGGACCGCCTAAATTCATATAAATTATTAACCGTTTAATAGTCTTAACAGCTTAATTTGCTAGCATTAAAATAATTCTGACTGACCTATGTCCAACATATTTTGATCCGTGGTCAAACGGTTCTAACCTTTACTCATTGTTATATGACTGCCATTTAATTTCAATGGGCAGCTTATTTCACTATAGTATATTAGTATTTTTCTTTTCTTTCTATATAATTAAAAAACAAACATCGGTCATTCAGATAATTAACGTGGTGCAAACTTGCTTGTGTTCACTATCTCTTAAACCGCTTTCCAGACAAATTCTTCTAGAAATTTCATGATTTTTCTTTGATTAAGCTATCAGATTATTGTAGTCAAAATCGTAGGAGATATGTAATTAAATTGATGCTTTAAGGGATAAGGATGTTATCCTGCTCAAATCGTTTAGTTTATACTAAAACTCATTGAACACGGTTTCAAAACACATACTTAAAACTGGTTTACAAACTCTGTTTATATAAATAAGATAGCAACATAGTTGCCTGATCCCAGGAATGGGATTATTGCATTTTTGTTATCATAACATAATAATCAGGTACAATTTCAAAACCATAACAAGAGTCTGATCTACTGAATAAATAATTTCCATTATAAGAGTCTTATTTAAACAATTATTAAATTTGAATATGAATTAACCTTTGTGCTTACTAATTAAGTGATAAATAAAATACACCTTAAATCTAATTGATTATTTAAATACTTAAATCTAATTGATTATTTAAATACTTAATTCACTAGATCAATAAATAATAAGTTTAATAGTTTATTTCATATGCTTGAATTAATAAATTTCATTATATCACGCATTAGATTAATACAATCAAATAATAAATACTTATAAAATTTAATGGTTTATTTTAGACACTTATTTGACTAAGAAAATTCTTTATAATAACTTTTAAATTAATATGTGCAAATGAAATTAAATAACATATATTCATTGAGTTTAATAGTCTACTCAAATACTTGAATTCATATACCTTCCTTATATCACAAACTCAATTAACACGAAATTAAATAATGGTTAATAATTCGAACAAATATTGTTTATACTGTGACGACGGATATTGTGATACCGAATATCGTGATCGATCACGTGAAAAATACACGAAATGCAATAAGTTACATTT